TTAATCAAGAAAATCAGGAGATTAATCAATATTAGTAATAATTATTAGTTGTTGTTGCTGTATAAAATAGTTATAAATGAGCTCTAACTCAAGCACTGATGTCCTTCAGGTGCTGCTGACAAGTGAATGCATCACCAATAATAATCTAACAATAATCTAATATTATGTCACAGTGACAGTATTTAGATTTTTTTCTGCATTGAGGTCTTTAACTTTTAATACGTGAAGTTTATTTTCCTGCTTATTACCTGTTATTATTAAAGTAATTCATACTTCTACTTATGATTCTAGTTATTCTGCTGCAGCTGTAGTGAAATGGTCTGAGTTTCTCTTCCAGCCATAATCAGAAGCAAACTAAAAGTTGGGGTTCAGATGAGGTTCTGTTTCAAGTTCCTGTCTGCCTTTGTCTGGTTTTTTTGTTTTCAGTACTCGGCTGATAGCAGAAAATCAATCTATTGCTCACTAGCTGTGTATTATTTTTAGACTCAGTTTCTTGCTCTTACAAGTGTGTTATGTAATTTTATTTTCATGGAATGTGATTTTATTTAGCTCGTGTGCAGACTTCTTTCTTTGTTGTGTCGCCTGCTGCAGTGGCCTCATTTTCCCTCTGCAGGTCAGTTAAGGTAACTGGAGACAAAAAAATTTAGTAAAATAGAATACACAAAATTTTGCGAAAAGAAACGGACTAAAGCGAAATAGAATAATATTAGATTTTTAAAAACGACAGATCAAACCTTCTCAGAGATCTTCTATCGATAAATTTAGTCACATTAAACGAGTTTAGGTTTTTTTTTTCTCGGCTGCCATGTTCGTCCACCTTTAAGTGCTGCGGCTGTTGCTAGGTAACTTTACAGCATTGGACATGTTGCCATGGCAATACTACAGAGAGCAGCTGTCAGGGAGACGGAATCGTGCTGCATTCACTTATAGTTGGTTGATCGGCGCGCACATTATTTGCGCTGTCCTCAGATGACCTCAGGAGTGTCGACGGTAAAAGTACACAAGAAACGTAATACTTTCAGCTTCATGTAATGCAGGTACTGTAGTGTTCTCATCTTCTTGTCGTACAAGCATCAGTCACCTCAGCAGAGTAAAAATATCGTCGTCCTGTTTGACCACAGTATGAACTCACATTGTCCCTACATGTCCTCTGTAGTACCAGCAGTAAAAGTACACGAGTACTGTAGTACTGTCAGCTTCATGTGGTAAAAATACTGTAATATTCTCTTCTTCTTCTCGCAAGTGTTACCTCTTGTCACCTCAGTGGAGAGAAAACGGCGTCGTGCTGCATTCACTTACGGCTGGTTGATCTCAGCATGTAGGACACATAATGTACACTGTCCTCAGATGACCTCTCTAGTATCAGCAGTGAAAATGCACGAGCACTGTAGTACCGTCAGCTTCACGTGATAATAACACTGTCATATTCTGAACTTCATGTGGTAAAAACACTGTCAGATTCTCAGCTTCATGAGATAAAAACACTGCAGTACTCTCAGTCTAATGTTGACAATAGTGTAGTTTTCTCAGACTCTTGTAGTAACGGCATCAGTGTTGCCTTCCATTACCTCATTGGAGTGGAGACGGCATTGTGCTGCGTTCACAGGCAGTTGGTTGATCTCAGCACTAGAACACTGTGTCCTCAGGTGACTCTGTAGCATCATCAGCAAAAGATCTGTAATATTCTGAGCTTCATGTGGTTAAAAACTGCAGTATTCTCAGATTCATGGACTGTAATATTTTCAGCTCATGTTAGAACAAAGCTGTAGTGTTCATAATGTCACGCAGTAAAAATGCTGTAGTATTGTCTGCTTCATGTAGTAACAATACTGTAGTATTTTCAGTGTCATGTAGTGACACTACTGTAGTATTCTTAGCCTTAGAAAGTAACAATACTGTCATCTGCCAGTTTCATATAGTTGAAATACTGCAGTATATTCTGCATAGTGTAGTAACAATAAGTATGCAAGAAAATTACTGCAGTATTCTGAGGTACCTATA